AGATCAGATTAGATAAACTTTATTGTCCAAAAGGGACAATTTGCTTTGCAGACAGCAAAAACAACTGCATGTATCTATCCATCCATCTGTATATTACATAATTATTAGGGATGCACCGATGTGAAAATTTCAGCCAATATCGAAAGCCGGTGTAATTATCGCTGTTATGTCAGATAACTGATATTTACCAATATTACACAAACACACAAATTATATTATACATATAAACACAAACACACTTGGGTCTTTTTTTTGATACCGTAAATAAACTACCAGACCTCTGACATGGCTCTACTTCAGTTATCACTGGCTATCACCGCAGCATCAATATTACTATCGTGATCAAACAGATGCTGCTCAACCAACGTTCACCCCTCCCAAAATAGAAACACAAAGATAAAAAGTGAGAAATCAATATCGGACATTAATATCAGCTCAGTTTTACATAATGGACTGATACCGATATTCTGAAAAATGACTAATATCGGTCGATGCCGATATCAATACCGATATATCGTGCATCCCTAATAATTAAAGCAATTTAGTTGAATAGCCTTGTAATAATGTCTCAAAATGCACTGCTTTAAAGCCAGCATTGACCATAAACTACATCCCCCATAATGCATGTCGATCATGCATGGGAATTCCCTGTCAGAAAGTGGGAGAGTTCAAAATTCAAGACTTGTCACATCTCAACAATAAGTAAGTCTATCTTACTTTTGCTTTAAAAATATTCTGTATTATTTACTTCACAGTCAGTTGTACACATAGCACTTTTCGATCTTTAAAAGAGGACATGTTAAAATGCTGTTTGTTTGCAGGAAATACCACGTAGAACTCAGGTTTTGTTTGTTAGCGGTGTTTAGCCGTAGCAATGAGTCGATGAACATGACTATTTCTGTTTAGTGGAAGTTAAACATGAAACATTGAAGTTAATTACAACTGGCCCTTTGAAGGTCACCATAAAGTTCATGTGGCCCTCGGTGAAAATTAATTTGACACCCCCTGTTGTAAGGCATTATGCAAAAAAATCAACAAGTCTAAATTGAATCAATATTTAAACTAGCATTCCTTAACAAAATGCATATTGCTATATGATATGAAATCAACTTTAACTCTGTGTTTCTGCATCTCCATCTTTTACTGTTTGTCTGTAGTTGGTTCACAGAGACAACAGGTCCAGGAGAGAAATCCAGACATGCCCCTCTCTAGCAACACTTTCCAGCTCCTCCAGGAAGATCCAGAGACGTTCCAAGGCCAGTGGCAACGACACTACGGTATGCATTTCATGTTGGTGTTCAATAATTATATGCAATGAAATTCAGTCCATTACTGTTCAAGGGGCAGGGTACACCCTGAACACATGACAAGTCCATGACAGAGACACATTGAGACAAACAACCACACACTCTCACTTATACCTTGAGACAATTTAAAGTTTGCCAACATGTTTTTGTTGGTCTAGTTTTTACGGTAAAGGGAAAAAAACACAGCAAGTGATTTGAATTTATTTTCTAGGGATTACTTTTTAATAGTTGTGTGTTCTGTGATTCAGCTCCCTGTGTCTTCAGTCTTGTTTCATCTGTCTGTCTCTGCTCTAACCCTGCCCACTCTCACCTGATCCTCCTGTCTCTGCCCAGGTGTTTCTCATTGTCATCTCATCAGTGTCCCTTTTATGTTCTGCGTCACGTCTCCTGACGTCAATGCATTATGGTTACAGCTGCTCATGTTGTTTCTAAAGTTTTACATTACAGAGATTTCTTCCCTCGTGCACTTTTGAGTACTTTTTTAACGACAGCTCGTTTCTTTTGTTTACTAAAAGTCCTCTTTTTTTTACCTTTGAGTCCTTGTGTTTCTGTTCTGCACTTTAGAACCAACTACGTTCACCAAAAATGGTAAAGAGAGTAAAGTGAGGGAATCTGGTCAGAGGGACAGTTTGTGCAAGATCTTTAACCCAATCCAAACGTTATCAAAATGAAAGGTCTTAAATGTATGCAGAGGGGGCTCTGCTCCATGGACCATAACATCCATAGTGAAATTACACCCCCCAACATGATTAGCTTTCATTGGAATCACAGTGACTACATTATTGTCTCAGACCTATGACCTCACTTGAAATAACACCCTTACTCCTTCAAAATTCCTTCAGTTTAATCCCTCAGGAGATCAGATCCACCCAGAGGCAGACTGGGTCGCCAGGTTTTACAGAGAGACCTGTTGTCTCATGTACATTTGAAGACCGCCTAGACAGAAAAAGGAATTTCTAGTTTGTGCTTTAGCCATCAGAAGCTCCGACTGCAGTGTAGTGTAATAAAACAAGCTCTCAGTGCTGCTGATAGCCATCTGAACTGCATCATGGGGACAAGTTAATGAAACGAAGCCAGCTAAATTAATGTTTGTTTCTATGTGTGTGTGTGTGTGTGTGTGTGTGTGTGTGTGTGTGTGTGTGTGTGTGTGTGTGTGTGTGTGGGAGAGCAAGAGAGAGATAGTGTGTGTGTGTGTGCGGTTTGTTTAAAGCTTTTGGATGAACATCAGTCAGCTTTGTGGCAGATAAAATGCAGAGACGCTGTCAGATAAGATGTGGCTGAGGTTTTAAAACTGAAAGGAAGCAAAGAGCTGGCACAGGTTGGACACGTATGCTTTCTGTGGTGGAAGTCAGAAGAGAACATGTTACAACACAACAAAAGACAGATTGTGAACATTCAGAATTAACCAGTGCTAGAAATAAAAGAGTATTCCTTTGATTTATTATATTGTAAAATATGTAAGGGTCTGTTTAAAAAGAATTAAAAGTTCTATCTATCTATCTATCTATCTATCTATCTATCTATCTATCTATCTATCTATCTATCTATCTATCTATAGTATCTATCTATAGTATCTATCTATAGTATCTATCTATCTATCTATCTATCTATCTATCTATCTATCTACAGTATCTATCTATCTATCTATCTATCATCTATCTATCTATCTACAGTATCTATCTATCTATCTATCTATCATCTATCTATCTATCTACAGTATCTATCTATCTATCTATCTATCTATCTATCTATCTATCTATCTATCTACAGTATCTATCTATCTATCTATCATCTATCTATCTATCTACAGTATCTACAGTATCTATCTATCATCTATCTATCTATCTACAGTATCTATCTATGTATCTATCTATCATCTATCTATCTATCTACAGTATCTACAGTATCTATCTATCATCTATCTATCTATCTACAGTATCTACAGTATCTATCTATCTATCATCTATCTATCTATCTGAATATTTGGCTTTTTTGTTTCTACACATGATGCACTTTCTGACTGTCATCCAGGGCAGCACAGGAGAGTTAAGGGCCCAGAGTGGGGCAAACGAGAGTGCTGGGGATTCAAGCAGGCAACCTTCTGAAGCTCTCTTCTCACCTCTGTCCCACCATTCCCCATCCTCATGTCTTGGCATTAAAGCTTTAAAGTGGTTCAGCTCATGTTTATCAAATAAGAGTTTTTTTCTGTCCAGTCCTTAGGTCCATAATTTAGCTGGTCAGAACTTTGCACACAGTCATTCTGACAATGAATGTTGGAGTAATTTTAGGGTTTAGATTAATTATTGGATCTGTTCTTTCTCCAGGTTGAAATAATGGAACAACCTTCAATTGCTTTTGAAAACAGATGTCTAAAGTCACTGTGGAGTGAAAGGTATACATGCAGGCGCAAAATGTTTACATACAAATCATCTAAATCCTTTAAGTCACTATAAATGTCTGTTGCTTTCTTATTATTGATTATGATTGACTGCAGCTAATAGTTTCTCTTGCCAGTAAGAAAACAATTTGTTTGACTGATTTGATTTGACTGACCTGTGTTTCGTTCATCAGGAACAGCCCAGGATGCGCAGCCTGCCATGTAATAGGAAAAACTCCTGCTTTGAAAACAAAATCAGATCTTCAAGCTTGACTTAAATTTGCAGCTGCACATGTGAACAAGCCAAATACTTTCTGGAGAACAGTTTTATGGTCAGAGATTGAGCTATTTGTCCAAAAAGCCAGTTTGGAGAAGTCAGTTTGGGGCTTTCCAGCTTAAGAACACTTGTCCAACTGTCGAGCACGGTGGTGGTAGCATCAAGCTGAGGGGCTGGCAAAGTGGATAGAACAATAATGGAGGAGGACTACCTCCAAGTTCTTCAACCTCACCTCAAATTAACAGCTGGATGGTTAAAACACTTTGGTCAACTATGACTTTTTAAATATGCCTTAAAAATGAACTTAACATAATCAATAATTTAATTATTGCAAACAAGATATTTAGCATCCTTTTCTCTTTTTCTTTTTTTAGAAAAGAGTAAAACTGCATATTTTCTCTTTGTGTTTGATGCTACATGTAGCGGCTAAAATCCTATATTTTAGGCTACTGGTGGTTGTTCTTGAAAGGCATTGGTTTTACGTGCGCTCAATTAAGATTCAGCATGCCGATCTTCTGTTTGACATAAAATAAAGTCATTTATTTTCAGTACAGTGTCCATTGTCTTACTGTTTCCATTAAGATCCACATAAATTCGACATACATCCAAAACCAAGCACAGTAGAA